TCCCATTTTTGGTAGCCAATGTTCAAGTTGCCCATCCCTATCCACTCTTTGTGTGGAGGGGTTGGGAATAATTCTTGGAGCCAGGATTTGTTTCCTTTTTTGAGCTACTGCATTTATAGGTGTAGGTCAAGTTCATCAAGTTGGATCAGATGATGCTTTTTTTTTCTTTTTCTTCCTATTCTTTCTTCTTCGGGTTGAGCTCTGTTCATCCAGTCATTGAAGCCAGGTCAAATGGGTATCATCTGCAAGTGTGGGTGTTCTTGTGTCTGTCAATCCTCTTCTTATCAGCTGGTCACTTCACTCTCCACTCTAGTCTTCTGTGGCTGTGTCACTGACTCTGAGCCCATGAGTCCCCAGGTCCTGCCTCACTGCTGGCCAGACTAAGTCTCCACCTGGGTTCACAGTACTCTGCTGAACGATGCAGGGCTTAGCTCGCCACTTCATTGATGTTCTTTGGCCACTTCTCTTTATGGGTGATGTGCATGGTCACCAATAAGTCAGCTCCTTATTTTCAAACATGAAATAATTAGAAGTTAAATTGTTGTTGTTGCTGTTAAGTACTGTCGAGTCAGTTCTGACACATAGAAAACCTGCGTAGGGTCTCTGAGGAGTGGTTGGTGAATTTGAACTGCTGACCTTGTGGTTTAAACCAACCTTGTGGTCAAGTGCTTATCCTATGATTGTGGAAAGTGCAACTTGAAAGGAATGTTGTTGTTGTGAAGTGCCATTGAGTCGATTCTGACCCATAGCGACCCTGTGTAGGGTTTCCAAGGAGCAGCTGGTGAGCTTGAACCACCAACCTTGCAGTTCAAGTGACTTTGCAGTCTGATGCATTAGCCCACAGCACCACACCAGGACTCCATAACATGGTGCACTTCCCCACTTTGGAAAGACAAATGCCTTCTAGGACACTTGAATATATTGATGAATGTGCGAAACTAATTAAGGCATTTAATGAAAGATTCAAGGACATGTAAAGTAAACAAATGGAATTAAACATCTTTGCTACACTGTTCAATGTGGAACCAGCTGATGTGCCTGATAACCTACAATATGTAATCCATTCAGCTGCAAAGCGATGATGAGCTGAAAGCTAGATATAATAATCTCATACTGCTTCAGTTATTTAAACATTACATAAGCAGTGATGAAACTGGGTTATATGAAAAAAGCCGTGGCATCAGGATTGGAGGAAGACTCATTAACAGCCTGCAATATGCAGATGATACAACCTTACTTACTGAAAGTGAAGAGGACTTAAAATATTTACTGATGAAGATCAAAGACCACAGCCTTCGGTATGGATTGCATCTCAATGTAAAGAAAACAAAAATCCTCACCACTGGACCAATAAACAACATTCTTATCAACAGAGAAAAGCTTGAAGTTGTCAAGGACTTCATTCTTCTTGGATCAACTATCAACACTCAAGGAAGCAGGAGACAAGAAATCAAACGATGTATTGCGTTAGGAAAATCTGCTGCACAAGACCTTTTTAAAGTGTTGAAGAGCAAAGATGTCAGCTTGAAGACTAAGATGCGCCTGGTCCAAACCTCAGTATTTTCAATAACCTCATACACATGCGAAAGCTGGACAGTGAATAAGGGAGACTGTAGAAAAATTGATGCTTTTGAGTTATGGTGTTGGAGGATAATAGTGCAAGTGCCATGGGCTGCCAAAAGAACCAACAGATCTGTGTTAGAAGAAGTGCAACTAGAGTGCTCCTTGGAGGCCAGGATGGCGAAACTTCATCTTTCACACTTTGGACATATTGTCAGGAGGGACCAGTCGCTGGAGAAGGATATCATGTTTGGTAAGGTGGAGGGTCAGAGAAAAAGAGGAAGACCTCCAGCGAGATGGATTGGCAAAGTGGCAGCATCAATGAGCTCAAGCGTGGCAACAATTGTAAGGTTGGCCCAGGATTGGGCAGTGTTTCGTTCTGTTGTGCATAGGGTTGCTATGAGTCGGTACCAACTCAATGTCACCTAACAACAACAACAAGTAATGATGAATTTCCCACTTTGAGGAGACAGGAATTAAAATGCATATCTGTATTCAGAATAACTTACTACTGTGAGGAATTCTTTTCAAAACTTACCATAGCAAAGAATCGACTGTGCTCCAGATTGACTGTCACAAAACAGTTGTGAGTGGCAACATCTTCAATACCAGCTGACATCACATGCCTCACCAAAGAGAAGCAGTTCCAGCCATCAAATTAGGGTGAGTTAATTAAATGTTTGACCAAATATAGCAGGCTAGTCTTCAAGTTGATAATTTTGTATGGTCTGCAAATGATGTTATAAATATCCAAATGGCCCTTGGCAGATAAAAGTTTCCACAACCCTGATCTTGACTCTCTCTTCCTTCTACCTCAGAAGCTAATAAAATGCAAAAGTGATCTGACTCTCTCTTCCTTCTACCTCAGAAGCTAATAAAATGCAAAAGTGATCTCGTCTCAATGTTGCTATTTTTAAAGTTTTTCACTATAAAATCTCCATACTGTGTTGCAAGGTAAATATTCTCCTTGGAAGTTCTGTTGCAAATTGAAGAAATGGGCATTGGAATGTTGGGAAATAAGAAGTGCTGATTGGCTATAGAAAAGAGCGCATCAGAATAGCAAGTGTTTTTCTGCTGCCAATTATTCTTAAGCAAATACAGAAAGGAAGGTGAGTTGGGATGCTGCCAGCCCATTAAATATTTTAAATTCTAATATAGTTTTTCCAACCAAATGTCACAACATGAAATTTAAAGAGGTTATGCTTTAGTGATCAAGGCCATTTTTGTCCTCTACTATCTGCTATCAACTCTCATACCTACAGTTTTAGAAGCTACTAATAATATTAAACACTGTCTGACCACTTAATTTCTTATTTTCATCTAAGAAATTTGCTTACCTTCATTCCACTCAAACTTTGCATGAGAGCTCTTATGCAGCCATTATGAATTACATATCACTTCACCTGGGATGGCTTTTTAATTAATGTCATACTATACCAGATATCAAGGAGCTCAGGTAACGTAGTGGTTATGAATCGGGCTATGAGCTGCAAGGTCAGCAGTTCGAAATTACCAGCTGTTCCACGGGAGAAAGATGAGGCTTTCTGTTCATAAAGATTTACAGCCTCGGAAACCCTGTACAGGGTGGCTATGAGCCGGAACCGACTTCACGGCACACAACAACATACCAGATATCACACAAACCTTTCAAGTAACACATGTATGCTTTAGAAAAAATATTTTGAGAGACTGCCTAAAGAGAAGTTTTGATGTAAAGGATGCTTAGGAAAGATAGGTATCCTTGAAGTGTATGTAGTTTGAGGTTGGGGGTCTCTTTCCAAAAAAAAATAAAATTACAACTACAAAATGAGGTAAACAATGTTTGAACGAGGGTCTGTAATACTGAAGGGCTCTAAAGCTTCATCAGTGTCATCATATAACTCAGGTTTTTTTTTGGGGGGGGTGCGGATTTTTTTGATATCTGACTGCTTACTTGAGGCACCAAGTAATTCCTAACCAAACCAAGGAGCGTTGATGATTCTGTAGGCTAAGTATTGAATACAAGGTCAGCAGTTCACATCTACCATAATCACAAGGTCTGCAGTTCACATCTACTAATCCTTCCACTAGAGAAAGAGGCTTTCTGCTCCCATAAAGCCTCAGACACATTATACAGGTGGCTATGAGTCAGAACCGGCTTGACAGTGCCTAACAACCACCACCAAACCTATACCAAACAAACAAAACTCTAGGAAAATGTGAACACTTAACATGCACCAGGTACTTTACATAATATTACATTTAATGCTCATAACAAATATATTAGGTCAGTATCATCATTCCCATTATATAAAACTAGAAACGGAGGCTCAGGTAATTTATTAACTTGCTCAAAGTTGTTTTAGTTAGTAAAGAGGAGATTCAAACCAAGGCCTGATAAACTAAATTTTCTGTTACTTCTAATACAACATTCTTCCTTTAAGACTTCCCAAAAGATATAGCATTTGTCACTTTAGAGAATACCCCTAGCAATGTCTAGATATGCTCTGTTAATATTTGAAATCGATATACTTAATTCACAGTTCTGATGTTAAAAGTACTACATTTAAACTGTGTTTAAAGGACATGGGGAAATATTCTGGGTTATATTTCTGTTCATTAAGTGAAATAAATGAAAATAGGAGATTTTAAGGTCCAAGAGATGTGAGTTTGGACTAGAGAAAAATAGAAGTAGAATCAGAATCTGGAGGTGAGCCTTTCAGGAAAGAGCCAGTTGTGGATGTCTTTGCATACTGGTGGTATGGATCTTGGAAAAATTATATTCTCTCACTGCATGTCCAATAGTCTTCTACCTTGTTGTTGTGATACGTCAAGTTTCATAGGTAAAAAAATAATGGAAATTGACTCATGTGTTATATGACTCAACATTATATCTATACCCTGTATTTGCCAGTTCATCTTTTATTTTTTGAAATGCCTGTTAAAAGCACCCTTCATTCTCCTAAGGTGCCCAGAAGGTAGGTGCTGTTTTTACCTTTATTTACAGAATCCATTAATGTGTTCTACACATAGTAGGCACTTCATGAAGGTGTGTTGCCATGGAAGATGGTATTAATGAGTTCTTTTTGATAGGCCACCATTAACACAATAGGAATTCTATAATGTAGCTATGCTGTGATTATTTTTTTCCTGTTCAATCAAAGACTTCGGAATGAAAGATTTTGGAATCTGTAATGCTAAGAAAAGAAACAATTGGATGTATGAGTTGTTAGTAATATTTCCAGTCAACAAGCTTCCAGTGATGGTGGAGCTATTTATGATACCTGTTGATTTTGTGGTCGTAGGGCCATTATGACCTCAAACTGTAGCTAAGATCAGTACAATGCTTCAAGACTTTCAAGACTAGCAATACAAAAATGATGACTTAACTAGATGGGAAAAGAAGGTATGTGTATTTTAAGAAGAACTCTTTATTCTTAAAGTAGAAATCCCCCTTCAAGATGATGAATGGTGCAAACTCTTCAGGATCATACTTGCCCTCAAAAACTAGGTGAGTCATTGATGGGAAATGCCAAATAGTAACTACTCAGGAGACAGAAGAGGGTATCTATCTATTCACCCAAACTAAAACTAACATTCCTGCTATCTCTTCCCACAGTTACAAAGTAGATGACAACTACTTAAAGGAATTGAATGAGGACTTAAAGCTAAGGAAGCAGGAACTGCTAGAGATGCTAAAACCCCTAGAAGATAAGAACAACCTCTTATTACAGAAGTTAATGTCTAATTTGGAAGAAAAACAAAGAAGGTAAGGGTTACCTACTCTAGGATTTGCTGGAGGTCAAAAGTTTGAAGAACTTCAGTTGCCACAGGATTTACAATGCTTATTTATAATTGTTTTGAGGAAAATCAGACTTGGAAATGCAGCTGTAGTGAATTTGTAACAAAAAAATTCAAATGTAATGAATTTGTAACCAAAAAATTCAAGTTGTAAGGAATCCTTTATTTTCTTTTAATAAAATTAATAATTCAGAACCCTTATCCTATGGGGTTACAGTTAAACTCTTACTCACTAGGATGCCACCCAGGAGAAAGATAAATGGTCTTTAATCTATAGTCTATTATAGTCACACTGATAGCTTTCTTGTTCATGTCTGGGATCCCTTAAGGATATGAGGATAAGTCAGAAAGTATTGCTACAAAATCATAGAAACCTTTATTAAACAAAAACAACAAAATGTGAAGCTATTGTTTCTCAAAATATCCTCCATCTCTAGGTCTATACACTTCTGAAGGTGGTATTTCTATCTCTCTAACACTATCCTGGAGCTCTGGTAGCGTAGTGGTTACGAATTGGGCTGCGAACCTTAAGGTCAGTGGTTCGAAACTATCAGCTGCTCCGCGGGAGAAAGATGAGGCTTTCTACTCCCGTAAGGATTTACACCCTCGGAAACCCTGTACAGGGTCGCTATGGGTCGGAACTGACTCGACGGCACTTAACAACAACAACAACACTATCCTGAAGAATTCAATTGACATCACATCAAATGGCAGTTTCAGCATCTTTCAGTGGCTCAAATTGTCTTCCTTCTCAATATACAAGATAGCTAAGGTCTTGACTCTTCACTAGGGCACTCATTGTTTTTGTTGTTAGTGCCATCCAGTTAATACCACTCATAATGACCCTATGCACAACAGAACAAAACACTGCCTGTTCCTGAGCCATCCTCACAATTGTTACACTTACATTAATGCTGCCACTGTGCCAATCCATCTCATTGGGGGGATCTTCATCTTTTTCACTGCCCTCCACTTTAACAAGTATGATGTCCTTCTCCAGGGATGGCCCCTCCTGATAACATGTCCATTCTTACTTTTAAAGAGCATTCTGGCTGTACTTCTTCCAACACAGACTTGTTTGTCCTTCTGGCAGATCCTGGTACCTTCAATATTCTTTTCCAACACCACAATTCAAAGGCATCAAATCCTTTTATGATCTTCCTTATTTATTGTCCAACTTTCAAATGCATATGAGGCTATTGAAAGTACCAAGACTTGGATCAAGCACACTTTAGTTCTCAAACTGATATGGTTACTCTTAAACACTTTAAAGAGGTCTTGTGCCACACATTTGCCTAATGCAATATATCATTTCATTTCTTGGCTGCTGCTTCTGTGAATGTTAGTTGTAGATCCAAGGAAAATGAAATCCTTGACAACATCAATATTTTCTCTACTTATTAGGATCCTGTTCATTGGTCCAGTAGTGAGGATTTTTATGTTGAGGTATAATTCATACTGAAGACTGTAGTCTTTCATCTTTATGACTGTTCTTAGGTACCTACCAACTCTCTGTTTCTTAATAGTTACAAGGAATCTTCCTTCAAGGGGTCTAACTCATGGTCTACCCTTATCATAAATATCTCAAGAACTCAGACTTTGGAAAAACAAAAGTCAGGTAGGAGGTTGTGGTCTGCTTATAACCTAAAAACACAGACTTTTCTCAAAGCAAGAGAGCACAAAGTTTTGGTTCTCTACTTAGAGCTGAGAAAAAGCAAATGGAAGAAAAAGAACAAGGAACAAAAACATAAATTAATTAGTTTGAAAAAAACATATTTTCTCATAGTCAAAGACTTGGGTATTAATTAATATTTTATTAGAAATTTCCTAATGACTTGCGTGCTCTGAGGATTACCAAAACCAAGAAGAAGAAAAAAAAATGCTGTCGAGTTGATTCTGATTTATAGCAACCCTATAGGGTTTCCAAGGCTGTAAATCTTTATGGATGCAGATTGCACATCATTCTACTGGTTGGTTTGAACCTCTGAACTTTTGGTTGGCAGCCAAGCAGTTTACCTACTGCACTACTATGGTTCCTTCTGGAAACTACCCTAAGGGTATAATGATAAGTGGCCTCCCCAGCTAGCTGTCTTTATATGAAGAAGCAAGCAGGTAGGGGCAGGTAGACAGACAGAAATGGGGATAGGGAATAACTGGAATTTAGTCTGAAAATAGTAGGTTATTTTGCCCAGCAAGAACCACTTCTTTTTTCTCCAAAAGTCACACACCAAAATATTCTTTCTTCTGATGGGACAAAGAGAAGACCTGGGTGTTAGAGACCTAATTTTTGAACATTATGGACTCTTCATAGAGTGCATAGCTAAAACACAAATGTCAATTAGGAATGGAATCATTCTAGTTAGACCTTCTATGCCCACAGGGATTCCCATAACTCCTGGGATATCCAACACCATCTAACTCCCTTGCAGAGTACTTCCTGACCAGTTGCAGAGTATTAATACATATGTTTTATGATGTCTCTCTTACTTTTAGTCTACAGATCATGAGGCAAATCATGGCAGGAAAGGGGCCTGATGAATCCTCAGTAGTAGAGCTTATCAAGGAAGCAGAAGAGATGAAGCAGAACCTTGTAAGTTGTTGTTGGGTACTCCAGGAAACAGCATCCATTACTGTTGTCAGATGTAGATGGCAAGACAGAGTGTTCATCACTGACATCTAATACTTTAACACCCTTATGTCCTTAATCTAGAATGCTCAGGGTGATCCAAAGGGAGTCAAATAGAATGTTGGGAAGAACAAGGACAAGCTGACAAAATATCATTTTTGACTTTTTTTTTAACTTTTATTGTGAATTGAGTGATAGTTTACATGGGAGAACATCGGTTTTGCACTCATCCTACCGTATTTTGTTTCATGCAATGGATTACAATCTCCTCCATCATCATTCAACAGTATTTGCTTCTATTCCTACTGTTTCTGGGTTTGTCTGCTTTTTTTCTTTGATGTACACAAAAACACTCAGGAATATATAATCATTTAAACAACCCAAGGGCACATTCTTCAAGCCTGCCTCCTGACCACCAGCATACAGCCTTTCTCTTTTCATGAGTCTAGAGTCTACAGCTGCTCTATCTCTCCATGTCCTCATCACTGCCTCCATCTCTGGTGTTGTTGTTCCTCTGGATAGGGTCCCACATTCCGCTCATGCTCTTCTTTCTTGATGGCCCTAGGGTCCTCTGTTCCTGGAATGTTGAATTAACTACTCCCCCTTTATTTTACAAAACATCTACCTTTACAGTTGTGACTATCACAATTAGTCGTGATAACAACTGTTGTTGTTAAGTGCCATCGAGTCAGTTCTGACCCATAGCGATCCTGTATAGGATTTCCGAGGAGCTTCTGGTGAGCTTGAACTACCAACCTTGCAGTTCAAATGGCTTTGCAGTCTGGTGCATTAACCCACAGTGCCACACCAGAACTCCATGATAACAATTGTTAAGTGCCATCAAGTCGATTTCTACTCACTATTAAATCATAAGAATCTTATCCCCATCTTCTTAAATCATAAGAATCTTATCCCCATCTTCTTTCACCAGACCAGTCTCAACTAGATTAAAATTCTTCAGTGGGGATTTTACCTTCCCTAGCATACTCTGAAACTAAGTTCCCTCTTGAAACCTTGTAAACCAGACACTTCATGCCTTTATAGCCCCTTCCCCCCATTTTAGGAAGCCCATGTCTAAGTTTCCCATCCCTATCAACTGTGTGTACAGAGGGAATAGGATTGATCCCTGATGTGAAGACTCCTTCCCTCTCAGTTGGTATTTTGAGCTACTACATCCATAAGTATACGTCAAAGTTCATCAGATTGTAGTAATTTTCCCTTATTTCCTTGATCAAATTTCTTTAACTTCCTCTAATTGAGTTCTGATCATCAAGTCATTGAATCTAGGTCAAATGGGTGCTATCTCCAAGTTTGGGCATTCTTGTGTGTCTCCCCTCACTTCATATCAGCTGGATGCTTCACTCTCAAGTCTAGCCCTCCATGGCTAGGTTCTTGTCCATGTGTTTAGGAGTCCCCAGGTCTCACCACACTTCAGACCACCAGCCCTTCCTCTTCTCTCTCTCATCTCCAGGTCAACGGGAGTCTATGGAACATGGTCAAACTCAGCCCTTATCTTCATTGCTGCCTTTCCCCTACTTCCACTTACCAGTAGACCATTGCAGTTGCCAGCAAGCTTACATGTTTCCCTTTGAGTTGCAGTCTTGAAGGGGTGTTTATCCTGAAGGGACTTGATTGCTTGCCTTGATGGCTCCCCAGGAAAACAACTTGCTTGTTCTTGTAGCAGCCAATCAGACTACCTTTTTTTTTTTTTTTTTTTTCCCTGCTGATCTTTCTTTCAAGAGGTATCTTCTGTTCCTCTAGCTGCTCCAGGCTGGTCTGCCTGTCCTTTCAAGTGGGAATATTTCACCTCAGAAGATTATGGATGGGACTTAGAATTCCACCTAAGGTCCTACACACTACAAAGTCTCCAAAATAAGCCTATTTCACTAGACAAGTCCTTTTAGGAATTACAATCAGTTATAGGCCGAAAACAGGCTTAAAAACTTTTTGTAATCATGTTTTCCAATATTCCTTTCTAGTCCATGCAAGTTTCTAGTTTACAATAGCTGGCAAGGGAAACCAATATTCATAAGACAGTCAAGCATCACAATATTATTTGCCACTCTTTTACCCAATTAGACTGTGCCTTGATCCCTGTATCACAGAGCCCTGTCATTCCAAGGTTGAGCATACATCACTATTTACCTCTGTCTTTGACTTACTTTTAACCTTTTATCTGAGTCCTGGTGAGGCACTGTGGGTTAATGTGCTAGATTGCAAAGTCGGTTTGAACCACAAGGTCAGCAAATCAAGCTCACCCTTTGGAAACTCTATACAGGTCACTGTGGGTCAGAACCAGCTTGATGGCACTTAATACATTTAACTCTTCACATTTTAGAAAGTACAGAAAATACCTATCAAAATTAAAGAAGTTAAATGTTTTCCTCTGAGAGAACCTTAAAATTTTTTTAAATTAATGATGTAATTGTTTTGATCATAGACTGACCTCCCAGATTGTCTGTTCTTATAATTTTATTCTGTTCTTGACTCTTTCATTTGTCGACTGAGTTCAGGTTGATGCTGCCATGTACGTCATTCTTAAATTAATGATGTAGTGGATCTTTAAAAATTAAAAACTGGTGGGAAGAAATTATAACCAGGACATCTTAAGTGTTTTAAGTGTGAAGAACTCGTTTTGGTTAGTATCATGCCAAAATTACCAAAATTAATGTGATAATTTGCTCTCAACTTCTCATTATTATCATTATCAAACTCAGCTTTCATGCTTTCAGATTTGGAGCCAGTCTATTCAGTGCCTTTCTCTGTGGTTTGCTGGGTCCATGCACCCCTTCCACCATATCACTTAGTCATTTCTTCCAACCTCATTTTCATTTCTTTTTTTCTCTCTTTCAACAGGAAAGGAAAAACAAGATGCTTCGGAAGGAAATGGAAATGTTATGGAACAAGGTATACATCCAAGGATGTTTTGAAAGTATTGTACTTAGACCGTAATTCAAAGAGTCTCCATTTCCTCTGGTCCCATCCTTATTTTTTTCATGTCCTTGCTTCTATCTGTGCCTCATCCCAATTCATTCTTTGCATAGCAGCCAAAGTGATTTTTTAAAAACAATCTTCTGATGCAAACCCTTACAGCTATTCCTTAATATAACTTAATCTGGCTCTTGCCCACTTCTCCAGCTTCCTCCTTTGCCCCTCAAGATTGTTACTCTTGCTCTACCCCCTGCCTATAAGGCAATTTTCTAATGACTGGTTCATTCTCATTTTTCAGATCTCAGCTTAAATGTCACCTCC